AGGGAAAAAGCATGTGCATGTTCGCAGTGATGATGAATTTGGGACAAAAAAGCCCGGTAGGATTCCCTGATGAATTACTCCCTGGGGTCTCTTGGCTGCCATATCAGCACTGAAAGACAGTGGCACGCTTGCTGAAACTCTGCTGGGTGATTCAGACATGTCCAACACTTCGAGTCCTGTAAACCTCAAGGAACTGATCTTGAGGGCACTTCCTATAAATTAACCTTAGCCAGGAGACCATTTTTAACAGGAGGGTGGCCCTCTGGCCCTTCTGGCTCCAGTTTCTCTACCTTTCTGTGAACAAACACTGGTTTATTTTCTGAGTAAGCTGATGTTAATTTACTTGGTCCAGATTTGCTCACGAGGCCCTTCCACTGCCCCATCGAGTGTATCCACCCAGTGATTAATATTCAGGAAAGGAAATGTTGTGCTTTATTAATAGATGCAATAACATCTGTCTTAACGAGGCTCCTGCAAAAGCAATTCTAGTACTCAAATGCTTCTGTTTTTAAATAAGCTTCTGTAGAAGAAGCTGGCAGCCTCAGTCCAGCTAGAGACAGGGCTTCAGGCCAGTTGCTTCTGCTGTGTTAATGCTGCCATAGCATCCCATTTTTCCACTATTTTGGTTTGATTTCAGGGGAAGCTGATGTATACAATCTGCGAGAGATGTGCCAGACTCCGCTACTCTGTATTTCCACTTGTGTTTTTGAAAACCACATCCTGCAATTGACCTTTCCTGGTTTCGCACGCCTCCAGCGTAGCCCCATAATGTGATGGGAGCCCAGGACACCACGACACCCACCTCTGGGCTTGGGACGAGGCTCAGCATTTTGGTGGTCTGCAGCCCAGTCCTTGGAGTCAGCCAAGCTCTACCAGCAGCACTGGTCGTTACCTTGGGCATCATCACTCCCCCACCTTCCTCTCCCATATCCATCCTTCCCTAAAATGCTTTACAGACTACAACACCAAGAGAGAAATCTACTTTGAAAAGGCTCTAAAAGAGGACAAAAACAGCTGATGGAGAGCATCTTCACTAGTGACTACAAAATGACCCTGGTGCTCCAACAGGCCAGGACCTTCCTGACCAGTCCATAGCCCTAAACCTCAGAGTTAGCCAGAAAAAAAAAATGTTCAGTCCTGTTTATTTCAGCTTCTCTCTGAAATACATTACTGACCATGCACAGAGACAGGTATATGGTAAGGTGGAGCATGATGTCTGCTCTTATATTTCATGAGCAGCACATCTGTGGATGTTTGGGTTTGCTTGTTGCAATCCGCCACCATTACACACAAGCACATCCAAAAAACAACCTTTCCCTACCGAGAAAAATGAATCTGTGCGGCCATAATTAGACAAATATTGTTAAAGGAAAAGCTATACGTGAGCGTAGACTAAACATTGCTCTTATGCCAGATAAAACTGTGTTCATTACACTGAAAGAGAAACTGTTCATGCCATAACAAATGGTTAAACATGATACTTCAGAACAAATATACATATATACACTCCATCTATATTTATAATATTGAAAAAAAGGCCTGTAAAAGCCTCATCTAGCTTCCAACACAGGCACAAGAAAGACAACCATTGACTTTACTGAGTGTTGGAGGAGGACTTGAAATGGTAACATGACCTGGAGGATGCAGGTAAGGTCATTTGGATACTGGTCTTAGGCCATTAAAAAGAAATGTTCTTAGGGTGAGCGAATTCACTGTTCAAGATGCTGCCTGAAACATTAAGGAAACATTTGGTTTTGCAGTCCATACTCCCTAGCATTAGTAAGACATTCAGGTACACTTTAAATTTATTTCATATCACCCAATGGTGAATTTGGAAAGTTACTTGAATAAAGTTTCACCTGGTAGGGGAAATGGAGAGACAGCACCTTCAGCAGGTCTGGAGCAATGCCTCAAATCCCCCCTTTTTCCCCTTCTTTAGGCCCATCTAGCTTGAAATGCAAAAGTATTCCTCTAATAATTTAAGTGAGAAACTGGTTAATGAAGGAAGCACTGAAAGTTGTGCTGTTGAGACAGAACTGTGCAATCTGGGCTAATTTCCACCAAGGAAAATGAGGCTGAAGTAGATAAAACACTTTCATATTTGTGCTGCCACTCATTATTTTTTGATCTTCCACATTCCTGGGAAGGTCAAGCCATAGTGGAAGGACCATCACTTGACTTCAGCGAACTCAGCAACCCTCTCTCGAAGCCACCCAGCAGCAAGCAGAGGGATGTGTTAACCAAAGCCACTGTTCAGCCCACAGCTTTGCACCTCTGACCTGCAGGCTGTTTACCAGAAAATGCACTCGTGGACACTGAGACTTGAGACAGCCTCAAGGCTTCCCTGCCCTTCTCTTTCTCACTTTTTTTTCCCCCCCACACACAGACCTTTATCATTTGTATTTTATCATATCAAAATGGCACATCAGCAGTTTAATCAACAATCAGGAAGATGCCATAAATCAGAATTTGAGCATAATCACCTGTGCTAGAGGAAAGTTTTCATTTCCAGCTGGGATAAATTGGAAATTTCTCCCATGCAAGTGAGAAGGGAGACCTTCAAAGAGAAATATTTGCCAGCAAGTCATTTGCTGTTCCACCACTTTACATCCTTTTTGCTGTCACAGTCAATCATTTTTAAATGTACAGGTTGGACATTTATAAGATAGCAAGGCTATCCAAGCGCTATAATTTAATATCGCAACATTTGGGAAGAGGTCGTATAATTTATATTCAGGGTTCTCAGCCTGTTTCTCTTCAGAGGCTGGCAGGGGACTGGATGCACACAGCATACTAACCCATTTCACCAAAAGACCCTAAAACTAGTGCCTGAAGCCTCCAGAGCAAGAGGTACATGGAGAGAAAAAGCCATAAGCAACCCCAAGGTGACAACTCCAGCAGAGACTGGAGATGAGGACTCATCAAATTATCTGAGAAAAAGCAATGCCAAGAAGCCATCCACACCACCTGGACACCTCACCGCTTTCTCCCAACTCTCCTTTTTTTAAATAATTCCTGTAAACATTATTCTAGTTACAGTTTAATGTTTTATAATGCCCCCTTTAATTTGGCACTGCCTCACCACCCCCTCGCGAGGACCTCAGCACCCAGCCCGTCCTTGGCTCATGCACCAAAGCCACACTGCATTTTGCAAGGGGTGTTTCTCTGGGGGCTGTGTTGAGAAGTGGTGGAAAAGAAGAAAAAAAAAAAAGGAGGAAAAAAAACCACTATGTATGCATACCCGCATACCTTTTCTACACTCTCACAACACACCACCTTTAAAAGGAAATTTTTCAAGAGTTCAGCTGAAGTTAAAACACAACAAGAAACATGAGCCCGGGTCCTGGAGCAGAATGGAAAGAAGTGGGAGCAGGGATGGAGCACAGGGCACACTCCTTGCTCTGCCTGGAGCCCAGCAAGCCCCTTTTCAGGGTGCAGCTCCTCACTTCAGGCCATGCAGTTCAGAACGTGAAAGAATAAATAAAAGCAATGGGAATTTGAGGAAAACATCCCAAAGAGAAAAGGCTGGAAGGAAATGACCTTCCCTGCTATTAAATAGGTGACAGACAAGTGTTATAAATGCATCATGGGCTGGAAGGGAACAGAGGTGACACATCAGCCCCCTCAGCTCAGGGAGCAGCCAGGAGCAGGACAGGACCACGGCCGAGCACAACCACAGTCATTTTTGGCAACAACTGGGACGGACACAGCAAGGCCGCTGCTGGCAGGACACATCCAGAAGCAGGGGAAGAAAGCAGCCACAAAGCTCCAAAGGGAGGAGAGGGAGCCTCCAGCTGCACCGAGGGACACAGGCTGGAGTCACGCAGTCATATTTTCCAGCCAACTGTGTTAATTCCTCCAGCTTCCACTTGCCTTTCAGCGTGGTCATAGCAAGAGCCCACAGAGCAGCAGCATCCTATTTTCTGCCAAAGCCCTATCAGAGGGATTTTTATGGGAAGAAGAGGAGTGAAACAGAAGCTAATTACCTAAATAATTACCTAACGCCTCATTAAGCACTCCCAACCCACCCTAGCTCCGCCCTGGGACCAGTGCAGCTGCAGCTCCCACCAGTAGCTTTAGGCCGTCACGTCTCGTGTGAAGCACTGCCCAGGGCCAAAAGTTCCTACAACTTTTTGGGTGTAGGAGGCTCGAGGCAAGCTCCACTCACACAAGACTCTGGGGTCAGGTTTCCTGAGGAGTATCAGTCACTCCGTAGCCCCAAACAGGAGGTGGCAGGAGGGCTGGGGACAACGTGGCCTGCAGCTCCACTGCTACCATCACTGCCTCTGCCCACCCTTGCTGAGCGTGTCCTGCTTTGTCTGGTCCACCAACACCAACCTACCCACCATGGTGGCTATACAAGCCTTTAACAACCATCCTGTTGATGTAATCTGTTGTTGGGTGCATGTTCTTTGACCCACGGCAGTCTCCTGGGTCATCTGTGAGCTCCTGAAAGAGCCCAAAGCAACAGCCAGGCCTCATGTCCACCTGGAGACAAGCACCTCTCCCTCCTCTCCTGCTTGGTTTTGCACAGCCTGTAGCTCTGGCTGGGGACAGGCAGAAGCTTTGGGCAGGCACTGCATGTCCTGGAGCCCACCAGACCCTCTGGGAGGGATGGACCTGAGCTGGGGCACCTTGGGCAGGTTGCTCAGGAGCATGTCCCGGCAGGCTCCAAGTATCACCAGGGATGGAGACTTCACAGCATCACTGGGCAGCTTGGTTTAATGCCTGTCCATCCTCCCCATAAAATGCTTTATCTTATGTTGAAGGGGAATTTCCCGTACCTCAGGCCAGCCAGCAAGGCTGCACCCCATCCACGGAGATGGATAGGTCCCCACGTTGGTGCAAAACCCCCACTATGGGGACACCAAGCCCCAGGACAGGGATGTCACCCTGAGACCCCAAACCAGGAGGCCACAAGCCCTTCGAGAGGCGATGCAGATGGGCATGAAACAAAAGCTTTGGAGATTCAACTCTTTTTATTATGGAAGTCTATAAAATAGCCACATGGATTATTTTTTTTTTTTTTAAGATCACAAAATACACAACATTCATTTTAATATGCGACACATGATATTATATACATATTAAGAACCACATGACTGAAACACATGTTCACACGGCACCAATTTCATAACGAAAAACCCCACAAGTGCTTTTTCTTTTTTTTTTTAATATTAAAAACAACTGTGATAAAACATATTAATATTTTTCCAGACAATGTTTACAATAAAGAGAAAAAAAAAATCATATTTTACTAAATAACAAATATTTAACAGCAAAAACTTTATACTAAATATCTATTTTGAATTATAACAAAAATAGTACTTATAATAGTTTATAAAGACAGACCAAAAAAAAATTTTGTGTATAAAATAATATTATAGCGAATTGGACTGTGCTAAGAAAAAAAAATAACACAAACAATTCTGAGATTCAAAGTGCTTTATTCTGCAAACCCTCTGCAGCAACTTTTTTTAGTCAAGTTATATTAGTTAGGAATGGTAAAACAAAAGCATGACTTACTTATGCCTAGATTAAATACTCACACACACAAACATTATATATACACATGATGTAAGCATATATATATAATGGATGTATGCTTCTGACATTACAGCTCTCCAATCAACCACTCATTCAAAAGCATGTTTGGTTTTTCACTTTGTAACGACATTGGAAGTTAAAATAACAATTTCAGCGAAGCCCTTCACTGACTGCCTGTAAGCACGAGCGGGACCAAACCCTTTCCAAAAGTCTCCTCGAGAGATTTTGCTCACGGGAGCACAGCACAAAGCCACCAGTGAGTTTTGAGCAGACCTCCCGACCTTGTTGGCCATTCCCCTCACCAGTGTTCCCCTTTTTTCACCTCCTCTCTCCCCCAGTCACAGCTTTTGCCCCCAAAAGGTCTCAGCTGGAAATGAGGGGCTCCTGGACAGCACCCAACAGTGGGTCCCTGGTGGGTTTTCACCCTGCGTCCTCCACCTCCTGCCCCATCCCCATGCCCTACAGATGTTTGTTGTCAGCCAAAATTGTGGATGGCCTCAGGTGCCACAAACCTCTCCCCAGACACTTGCCTCCAGGAGACTCTCCTCTTCCCACTGCATTCAGGTTATGTCCTCCTTTGCTTCCCTTTGGGACTCGGATTGTGATTAAGCCCCTTTTATTTCTGGGAATGTTTTCTCTCCACCAGGAACAAGGAAAATGCCTAAAATCTCACCGGTGCTGGAGCTAGTGGTGTTCCTCTCAACATTTCCAGGCTGGCAAACTAGCTGAGCCTCTGTTCCAGGGACGCGGTGCCAAGGTAGCACAGTGCCAAGGTAGCACACAGCTCCGAAACCTCGCTCTTAGGTTTGGCACGCTGCTTACCAACCAGAAAGCGAGCTCTGGATCTCAGCGGCATCCCTTGGAAGGCAGGGAGTTTTACTTCGGGTCAAATCCACCTGGAAATCAAGTCGTGCACCTTGGCTTGAGTGGAGCCCATCCGCCGGGATGCTCCTGGGGGGCTTCTGGCAGCTTGGCTGACGGCAATCCGACCTCGAGAGCTTCCCCTGGCTCACAGCCTGCCTCCCTCCCCACCGCCCCCACCAGACGGCAGCCTGGCAAAGGCAGCCACCGCCGTCGCTCGCCCCACACTTCCTTCGACCTTCCAGAGAGGCGCCCACTCCTCAAAAGCACAACCTGCAAAGCAACCTGGTAAGCAACATCTGCCCCTTCGTCCTTCCTATTTCAGCCCCTCCGACTTATCTGGACACCTTTAAAGCAGAAAGCCAAGCTGCCCACCCAAGCATGAGATCTTTCCCCATCACGGTTAGGAGAGGTCCCAGCCACGGTCCTTGTCTCATCCTTTCCACCACGGAGGGCAGGAGCTGGGAGAGGAGCAGGGCTGTGCAGAGCAGGGATGAAATGCCTCGAAGAGGGATCCAAGAGGGATTTCCCAGCACTGATCTGAACCAAATGCCAGCCAGAGCACTCGGGGTGTCTTTGCTCTGCACCTGCGCATGAGGCAACATCTGCTTACAACACAACGCGCCCATCTCACACTCAACCTGGAAGCCTTTTGCATGCAAAAAAAAAAAAAAAAAAAGAAAAGAAAAAAAAAAAAAGAAGAAAAAAGAATGAAATTTAAAAAAAATACCACCCAGCAAATGAAACTCAAGATACCTTGGTGGCTGCTTGCTTGCGCTGGAGCTGCTTTGGGCAGGACCCCTCTCCCAGATGGGCGGTGGGACGAGGCAAGCAGTTTGCAAGGAGCCTGCCGTTCATTCTCCTTCCTGCCAAGCTCTTCCATCGCCAAACAAAACCCAGACACGAGACAAACCATGCGGACGTTGGCTTATTTATAGAGATCACCTTTAATGCGAATGCCTCCCAAAAGGAGCAGCTCTGAGCGGGGCGGTTTCGCTGGGCACCCCAGTGCTTGGTGCTTGCAGCGCCGTGGCAGGTTGGGGGGCTGCACGCTTTGGAGGTTGGTGCCTGCACCCTGAGGGAGAGCAAAGGCACCGAAATGTCCCCAAATGGGTGCCTCTGCATGGAGAGGGTGAGGGGGTTGGGGGGGGGGGAACGGGACGGATGCACACAGGCTGTGTAGCAGCAGCAGGAAACTCAATGAGAAAAAACAGGAGCCCCCCCCTGCCCCAGAGCCCATTTTGCAAAAACGCACTTGTCCGAGGCCTTGGAGAGACAGCTCGCCGTCTTCTCAGTCCTAGACAAGGCACCACAGGGTTTTTCGGTCCCGCAGCAGAGGCGAAACGGCAGCACCCCCCCTCCCCAAACCTGCCCAGGGGATGGGGTGGGAATGGGCATCACTTGTCTGCCCCTCACCCAGGGAAGTCCCCAAAGCCCCAAAACAAAAAAACACAACTGAACAAACAAACAAAAACAAAAACAAAAAACACTGTTATCACCAGCTAATTTAACACTGTTAAAAAAAAAAGCCCAGCGGCCACCCAAGAGCCGCCCTGGGCCACCAGACCTCTGGTTGCCGGCTGATTTCCAAAGCCTTTCCCGCAGTCGGGGCTTTGCAGCGCTCCTCCTCGCAGCAGAAGTGTTTTATAGATATTTATATATATATATTTATAATATTTAGATACTGTGTATGGTCAGACAGTCCCAGTTCTACTCGGGATTTGCGACTCTCCCTCTTTTTCGAAGGAAGCGAGAGGCACGACGCCACCCCGACCTTCTCCACGCCCGGAGCAGAAGGGTTTTGGCAGCTTCACCGGTGGAGAAAGCAGTCCCGACCCGGAGGCTCCGTGAAACGAGCATCGTGGAGAAGCTTCTCGGTCCTCTCCCCTCCCCTCCTGTTCATCCCCGTGTCCCCACCCCACCCCTCCGTCCCCAGCCACCCGTCCCTCGCGGGCTCTACACCGTGGCCCCCAGCATTGCGTCTGTCCCCGTCAGGATCTCGTTCTGGTTGGAATCCAGTCCGAAGAATTTGACCTTGAGTCCGTCGACCGGGTGGACCACGGGCACCAGGGTGATTTTGGGGAAAGTCCTGGTGGCGAGCTCGAAGCGGCTGGTGCTGGCCAGCTCGATGGCCAGCGCCTTGAGGAAGAGCTTGGCCAGGTGCTTCCCCAGACAGGTCCGTACGCCCCCTCCGAAGGGGAGGTAGTGGAACCTGCCCTCCTTGTCTTCGCTACGGCCCTGCCCGAAGCGGTCGGGGTCGAAGGCGTCCACGTCCTTGAAGACGGGGGCGGTGTCGTGGGTGTCCCGGATGCTGTACATGACGCTCCAGCCCTTGGGGATTTGGAAACCCTGCAGGGAAGAGGGGAAGGGGAGAGAAAAAAAGCAGAGCGGGTTAACCATGCTGCAAGAAGGGAGAGGGGACAGCGCAAAGCCGCTTTGGTCCCCAGAGCAAATGCTTTTCTCTGTTTTATTAACTAAATTTATAAAAAAGCAGAGAGAGCAACACAAAGTGCTAGGAGACGGGAATGCTGGATTGATTAATCCCTGCCTCTATCCCAACCCTTCGGGTGAGCCATTCCCTTCACCACTTCGCTCCCACCCTGCCACCCAACGCTCACGTCAGGGCCTGGGTGGTGTGAAACAAGGAGGCTTTCTCATCCCCTGAGCACTTTAAAAGGCTTCTGACTCCAGTCCTTGCATTAGCAGGATTTGCGGTGACAGCCAGGTCTCCAGGCTTTTGTTGTGCTGGTGGGAAACTCCAGCCGTCGCGGTGAGCAATGCGCCTGTCACCTGGCAGCCTGGAGGTGCCCTCTGCAGTAAACCTTCCCCTTGTCACACCCCAGCTCAGATTTTGGCCTCAAACATTGTCATGATTTGCTCTTTGAGGAGTCATGGATGTCTCCTCTTTGACATCCCGAGTGCATCTCTTCCCCACCAGGGGATGGATCCCTGCGTCCTCCCATGACTCTGCAACACTTCTACCCACCACCACCACCAGGATTGAATTTATCATTTCTGGTTCTCATCTAAACCAGGCTCAGGTGAGTCCTGCACAAGGCACAGAGGGCTTTTTGGGGAAGGTGACATTGCAGCAGCACCCCGCCGCCACACCAGTACTCACATCCAGCTCGAAGGTTTGCAGCACCGTCCGGTACCCCCCCGAGATGGGGGTGAAGAGGCGAAGCACCTCCTTGATGACGCAGTCCAGGTAGTGCAGGCTGTTGATGTTGTCGAGCCGCAGGGAGCCCTCGCAGATGCAGCCGTTGTGGAGGATGCCCTTGCTGCGCAGCTCCTCCCGCAGCTTCTCCAGCACCCGCGGGTGTTTGAGGAGCTGCATGATCAGAGAGGTGCTGGCGCTGGCGGTGGTGGCGTAGGCGGCGAAGATGAGCTCCAGGGTGCCGTCCTGAAAGGCAGGAGGAAAGCTGGGGTGAGACACAGAAGGGACAGACAGATGGATGGACCGACAGCAGGGGCTAAGCACAGGGCTGTAGCAGCCTGGCTTGGGGCACTTCTTTCCCCTCCATCTCAAGGCGTGCAGCTCCAGGGGATAAAGAGGCATTTCCCCCTTCTTGCCCTCTGCGTGGGGATGTTCTGCTGCTGCTGACAGCAAGAGGAGGGCAGGATCGCTCCCATCCCTAGGATGTTCTCCCTGCCCTGCTCAGGAGATGGTGCAGGGGTCCCCCCCAACACCCCACAGCTCTCCAACCCGACCTCACTGCGATGTCCCTCCTGGTTTGCAGGCACAGTCCTGCTGCCCAATTTCTCCTGCACTCAGGGGAAACAAGGAACGTCCCTATTAAAAGGGAGATGTGTGGCTAGTGTGAAAGGACTGAGTGTGATGAATACACCCCGAAGGAAAGCAACTGGCTTGTTGGCACCGTGCTCCACCAAGCCAAGGTTCACCTGCAGCTCCAGCAACACTCCATGGACCCCCAGATCTGACCGACCACCTCAGGTCTGCCCCCAAGAAATCCCACCCTGCTCCAGCCCATGCTCTGCTGCAGCAGGGAGCCCAAGCCCTGAGGACAAGGGGTCGCGGGGAGGACCTTTACCTTCAGCTCCTGCATGGTGAGCTCCTTGCCGTGCTCTTTGCCGCTCTCTATCAGGATGTCCAGAGCATCAGCATAGTCCTTGCCCTGTGTGTTCTGCAGTTTCTCCTGGATGGCTTTCTCCAGCCCTTTCTGCAGCGTTTCACGTGCCCGGATGCCCTGGGGAGCAGGAATCCACCAGATTACACAGGGCACAACACTACAACCACCATCCCCTCTTGCCCTGGGGCTGCCTGCATCCCCAGGAGCTGGAGACTTGCTCAGGAGGTCACAACTATGGAATCCAACTGCACTTGCAGGTGCTCAAAGAGAAGTATAAAAATGCTGGAGTCATTCCCCGGCCAGGAGGAGGAAACCCCAGGTGTGCACGATTACAGGCGAGGGTAATCGGCACCTAGGTGCAAATGGTAGGTGGGATGTGGGAGCTCCAGTGCTGCACCAGTTCACAGGCCTCCCCCTCTCCCCAGGATATACAGCAGTCCCTGGGAAAACTGTTTCTCAGGGGAAAGGCAGTTCATCCAAAAGAATCCTATTCCCAAGAGTGAAATGGGGTTCCCAAGCAATTTTATTGCTGGGCCTCACTAAAGCAGTCGGCATGGGAGTGCAGCCCCACTGAGCTAGCTTGGGGCTGCCAACGATTCACATGGTTAAATAACAATAAAAGAATTTGCAGTGATAGCCACCAAAATAATTAAAAAAAAAAATCTGTTACCAAAATTACCAAAAATACAACTATATTTTGTTGCGTTTTCACTTTGCATCTTCCATACAAGAACTGGAACAGTTCTTAGAATCAGGAGGGCTGCTGGCCCTGCAGACAGGCAGTGCATTGGTAGGAGAAGGGTCCCACAAAATAAAATGAAAATGAAAATGAAAATAAAATAAAAATAAAAATAAAAAATGAAAATAAAAATGAAAATAAAAATAAAAATAAAAATGAAAAATAAAAATAAATAAAAATAAAAATAAAAATAAAAATAAAAATAAAAATAAAAATAAAAATAAAAATAAAAATAAAAATAAAAATGAAAATAAAAATAAAAATAAATAAGCAAAGTGCCATTGCAAGGAAAAATCACCCATTAAATCTGAGCAGATGCTGACTGTATTCTCCATTGCACTAAACCAAGGAGCTAAACCTAGCGCTCTGAAAGCCTATGAATGTGTCTCCCTCTCTACACAACCAAAATAGGACTTTTTATCCCAAAATACACCTGTTTCTTAGACATCAGAGGGTAAGAAGACATCCCACCAAGAACATGCAGAGAGGTAGGGATCAGCCACCAGATCCCAACCCCAGATTGGGGTTATCGGCTGGTGGAAGCCCCAGCCCAGATCTCTTACCCTCCTGTAGCCACTGAAGGGCAGGTCCATGGGCAAGGAGAAGACATTCTCCACAAACTGCTGGTAGACCTCGAAGAGGCGGCTGAGCTCCTCGTCGGGGATGCGGAAGCCCAGCAGGACGCGGATGGCCATGCGGAAAGTGAGCTTCTGGGTCTCGTGGTAGACGTTGATGGACTCAGGGTTGCTGCTCCAGGCCCGGAGGGTGTCTTTGATCACCAGCTGGATCTTGGGCAGATAGCTCTCCAGGGCCTCGTGGCTGAAGATTTTGGAGAAAACCTATTGAAAGAGAGTGAGAGAGATTTTTACGCAGCCCCAATAATCTTTGCATTCTCCAATAACCCGCTTCTGCTCACCAAAATGAATATCACAAATCTCCTACACTGAGCAGAAGGCTTGATCACCATCCAGAATTCATCATCCAGAGTGACCAATTTCCAAAATCACTGCCAAAAAGGGCTGATGGAGAGCCATCAGCTGAGGGAGCATTCCCCAGGCTGACCCCACCAGAGCCACCCCAGAGGACTGGTGATATTGTGGTGCCCCCAAGCCCCTCTCCAGCAACTAACTGGAGATGGGAGGAAACAATTCACCTCGTGCACGGCAGGGTGGATGGAGACAGCTTTCCTACAGCTCCATGTGTCCTGCTTCCCACCTGCATTCATCCCACCAGCTGGGTGCTAATAACACAGCTCTTCCGTGGGGCTTCTCTGATGTCTAATAGCCTGGTTGTGCACGAACACACACGCAAGCTTTTCTCTCGGTGGGAAGCACCGGGAGTTTCTCTCTCCTAACAACCAACCGTTTTAAATATATACAAAAAAAAAAAAAAAAAGTAGAATAATTAGTTCAAGGCCTTTAGGCTCTCTGCAAAATCTGGCTGAACTCAGACAGAGGTTCAAGTGCTATTGGGGAAAAGAGGCACACACGCATGCAGACGCTGAGATCGCACACACCTCATTTCCTTGGGAAACCGGGCTAAAAACCTGATGTCAGCAGACACCATTAATTTAAGCTCTGCAAGTAAACACTGCGCAGGAGTGGGCCTCCCCAGGTCCCCGATGCTAACGGCTCCTTACTCCAATTTGGGACTGAGCCCGCGTGTTGCACGAGGAGCTCAGAAATGCCAGGAATGTCCCTTGGCCTCCCCCCGGCACAGCCCACAGCACGCGCTTTCATTCGGCATCCCCGCCGCATCCCTCCCAGAGTGCACCGGAGGAAAAAAGTGCTGTTTGTTTATTTTTTATTAACCTCCACACACGGCGGCATGCACACATGCACCGCCACATGCCAGGCCTCCAGGAAAATCAAATTAAAGCAGGCTCCCACGGAGGGAGCTGCAAGCCTCCGCCGGAGGCTGGTTGCTTGAGGGGGGCTGCAAATTTATCAGAATGACAAGAAAAGGAGAGAAATCAAAGCCACCCCCTCTTTTGACGAGAGGCGAATGCACCGGAGCTGTAAATGTGGGAATTTCCTCTGCAGTCAGCACTCGAAGGGAAAGGTAACATTTTCCTGGCGGCGACCCCTCATTGCTAATGCACGTCGTTCGCCGGGAGTTTGTTTGGTGAAATAACACCTCTGTCCCCTTGCAGCCCGGGTGGGAGGCTCGACAAAAGCTGCTTCATAACGCGCCGCATGCGGGCTGAGCCCCGAGGAAAACTCATCACACCACACACGGCAGGGCAGAGCTCGGCGTGGAAATCAGTGTGCAAGCAGGGTGCTAGGAGGAGGGCTGGGAGAGAGGGAGAAGATGCACACAGACTGACAGACGTGCTCACAGACAGACAGCCCCAGGTGTCTACAGAGAGCTGAGGAATGAATGAACGGAGCGGGAGAATGAATGAACAACAGGGCTAGGGTGAGGGTGCGAGATGATGCGGCTGCTGCTCTCCGTGCCTCTCTGCGATTCACGGGCTATTTTTAAGCCCTGAAAGGACAGCAATGCTCAGGCAGACCAGCTCGGGTGTGTGCAAGGGGGTGGGAAAGAAGGTGCCTGGAGAAGAAGAGTCTGCAGCCCTGTTTGGGGCCAGCGTCCTGATGGAGGTGGCACGTGGGGCTCCCGACCCGGGGCAAACCCCGGCCTCCCACATTGCTGCCCAGCATCTCTCCCATGAGGGATGAGGACCCCTCCTGCTCCCCACACAAAGCCCAGCATCTACAGAAACACCTCTGGTCCTGCTATGCAAAAAAAAACAACCCCACAGTGCAGAGAACCAGCCCAGGGCTGGATCCACACCTTGCGGCCGAGCTGGACTCAGGAGGAGCGCACCCGTCCCGAGGAGCGATGCTCAGCAAAGGCACAAGGGAGAGAACGACCCACCGTGGAGGTCAACCACCTGGAAATAGGGAGTATTTTGCACTAGAGGGGGGGGATTTGGTCTTTTTTTGCCCTTTTTTGAGCTGTCCTTTTGCTGTCGGGCTCCTCCAGCCCCCTCCGGCTGCAAAGCCGCCGTCACGGGTCCCGGCCGCTCGCCGCCGCTGCGCTCCACGCCGCCTAATCCCAGATGTCAGCGGATCCTTCCCCAGCCAGACACAAGTCTGGATCCCCTTCCAGTCACCTCCAGTTCAACCCTGCATCTTTCCAGTTGATTAAAAAGGAGGAAAAGGCAGCCAACTTTCCCTGACAGACCTCGGCGCGTTTCTAGCCTAAAATCCCTGCGCCCTCTAGTGAAGCGCAGCCGAGGAGCATCGCTGCACAAAAAAAAGTTGATCCCGAGCAGCCCGGAGGCAAAAACAGCTTTAAGGGGATGCCCCTGACAGGGGGGGTCCGGTAGCAGCCATGGGGCAGCCAGCCAGGGCTTTGGGGGCGATGCTGGGAAGAGCCCTCATCTCTCCAAGTTTTTGGTGTGTCCTAAAAAAAGCCAAGCCTGGGGATTTGCTCTGTGCATCTCACACCCGCACGCGCTCGCCTACCCCCTGCCCGGGGAGACCCCCACCACCCAGTTGGAAACTTCCGAATCCGCCTCACAGTGGAAACAGGATATTTAAAGATTTATGGGTTTCCTAAGGCAGAAAATTCCTTCCCGGTGTCTCAGCTCCGGGATCCCCCGCAGAGGTCCAGCTCTGCGTGACAGTGAGCAGCCCCCAGTCGCAGATGGGGTGTACCCCAGCCCCATCCTTAAAACCCAACAAAAAGGAGAGGACATTCAAGTAATGCACCTTCAGCTTCAACCCACAGCATTTTTATGCTTAGAAAAAGCTTCATTTGGTAGCTGGGATGCAGTGTAATTATCAGGGATGATGCTTTCCATCATTTTACCCCTCCTTGGTGCCAGCCAAACTTCCCCCTCCAAGCACAAGTTTCAACCCCTGCCTTTCACCACTGCAGTCTGTGGGTCCCCAGCTCTCCAGCACAGAAAGAGGGGGCAGAATTTTTTCCTTTTCACCCTCCAGGAGGAGAAGCTGGGATCAGACACCCATGCTTCATCCAGCTCAGAGCTGCTGGCCTGACAACACGAAGGCACGGACAGAATGGAGACATTTTCACAAAGCAATTTGGCACCAGCAGTACGTGTCAGGGAAGCATCCAAAGCAGCATCCCAACCTGGAGATGTGCTGTTGCTTCCTACATCCCAAAAGCCAGGGGGTGTTTGTCCCAGCCCTGTCCTGTTGTCACCTTGTAAAGGATGCCTGCCTCTCTCTGCCAGGCGTGGAGCCCACTGCTGTGCTCCAGTGGGCTCATAAAGCAGGATGTTTTTGGAGAGGGATAAGAAGGCTTCTGGGCAAGAGGCTGTCCTGGTGCTGGGAGCATGAGAGAAGGGAAAATGCAGCAAAAGAGCTGTGGGAATGTGCCACTGAGCCAAGGTACTGCCAAGAGGAGAGGACCTCTGCTGCCCCGACACACTGCTGCTGGTGAAAGCTGGTCCTCTGGAAGGTGGAGAACCTCTGCTTGTGCTGGGACTGAAATGAGGTCTTGTGGTATCTCCCCATGCCATGCTCTGCCACCTTCCTCCATCACAGGAGGAATCCAGGTCCCTTTAAAGGGAAAAGCCAGGAGATTCTGCTCCCCAAAAAAGGAGCAGCGCTGGATGTGCAGAGCATGGAGCAGAGCAGGAGCCATTTCACCAGGCTTGGCCCAGCTGGAAAAAAAAAAGTGGAGTAGAAGAAACTGCTTTGCAATGAGCAGTTTCACTGATACTCAAATGACTCACAAAAAAAAAAAAAAAAAAAAAAAAAAAAAAAAAAGTACTGAAAAGAAAACCAGAGATCATCTCAGCATCTTTGGGGCAAGTTACGATGATTGTGCACCTTTCAGGATTACTCATAGCCCCAATTTTTACTTTTTTTTTTTTCTTCTTTTTTAAGCACTTGGGGTTGTGAGAAACTCTAGAATTTTGTCTTCCTGTTCCAATTCAAACTAAAACCAAACAGCCCAAGCACACCAGCTCCCTGTAGCATGAAACCTCCATGTCCAAGCAGTTCTAAAAACACTTTGCTTGGCATGGGAGGCTTTGCTTTCCAACCCTTTAACAGGATAAAGGGGTAAAGGGATGGCAATGCAAAGGGGGAGAGGAGGAAAGAAGCGGGACACCCTACATCTATCTCAGCATCCCATCTGCAAAACTGTCTCCAAAAAAAAAAAAATCCAGCACCAGCAAAATGCCACCTGTTACATTCAGCAATTTAGGTTGCTTGGCCCTCTCCATGGGGTTACCCAAAAACCTTGTGGTTCTTCAGCACCTCTGTGCCTGCACCACCCCTGAAACGCTGCTCCCCGTCCCTCCCATTTACTCATGGGGAACCAGCGCATTGGGGGGCTGCAAAATTCACCTTACATAGTGTTACTGCTCAAGTGGGAAATCAAACACGGGGAGTGCCCTCAGACCTGGAAGGGGCATCACCTGGCCCAGAAAAGGTCCAGCGTTGCTGGTGGCTGGAGCCAAGGGGATGTAACATCCCCTGAGCCCACCGGGCAGGTGATGGCATGGTCAGGGCAGCCACCCACCAGCAGCAGATGGCCAGGAAGAGCTGAGATGGGCTGCGGACAACATGCTGCACCCCAAATCTGTGGCATGGAGGTGAGAGCTTACCCGGAGCTAAAGAAAAGGAGAGCAGCTCGCTTGGCATCAGGGATGGTGCCCTGCCACCACAGCAGAGCCAAAGGAGGAGAGATATTAGGAGACGAGTCCCCTTTTTGGTGACTTTTCCTGAAGCATGGAGGGCAGAGCGAAGGGATGGGATCCTCACACACTTCAGAAACCCACAGGTTGGACTTGGTAAACCACCTTTGAGAGCCCTTCCCAGAAGTGCTGAGACCTTGGTCCTGCCACGTGTTACAT